CCGTGAAACAGCAAGGTCGGTGAATTGCACACGAGGAAGTTCGGGTCCGTGTAACATTCTTAATTTCCACCACTTGCGTAATCCTGAAATTCGTATCGCAATCGACATAAAAAGAGAATAATTCTGTAGCGCCATATAAACCTTCTTAATTCGAACGATTATAAGTATGTATTACCCGAACTGTAAACAACGATCGTTTCGTCACCGGCATCTGCGATATAACCACGAAATCCCCATTGATCTCCAAACGGATCAATTACGAGAGACATTAAATGTTTTGCTGACACTTTAATTAATTCGGTGAATGACACCTTTAAAAATTTTTTAAGTAAATGAAATTAATTATCCAAATATTTATTTTTTTGGAAATAAAATCTAGTTTGAGCGAGATTAAATTACGGTTTAATAGCAAAATTTTGTTATTTTTATAAATCGCGCTCTTTGATTTGTTATCCAAGTAGCAATCTGATGTTATTTGTCGTTATTTTGACTTCAAAATGACGATAAATATAACGTCAGTTCACTACTGGGGTAAATTTTAAGTTAGAATCATAGCTCTCTAAAAGTATAAACAATATACAACAATATATGTATATTAAAATGGAATAAAATACAACAAAGAAGTAAATAGAATTTTACGTAAAAAATATGTCAATTAAAAAAATATGAATTTGTTTAACTTTAGAATTAATTCATTGTTTTTCAAGAGGATATATATGACTCAGATTTTTTATATACATATATCCGATTAAATATTTTTAGAACTTAGTTAAAAAAATATAAAAATATTGTTAAAAATATAAAAATATTTCTAGACAAATTTTTTTCCGTAAAAACTGTCAAACATTGTAGAGTGTGATAGAAAATCAAAATTTAATTCTACTTATTAAATTACGAAATACAAACGTTAAATTAAAATAAAAAGAAATTTCTAAGAAAGTGCTAATTTTCGAAATTTTCATTTCACAGACTTAATTAATGTATATAGTTCTAAGATTAAGAGAAAATGTTTATATATAGTTTAATATGTATAATTTAGATACCAATCGATCGTTTCGTTTCAAATCGTAAATGACAATTCGAGGCCAACGATCATATCCGTCGGGTGCATCTAGAATCCATAATCGTCCTCGAACATCTACGTCTAATCCAGTTACGGATATGAGAGTTTCATAATCCCGTTTTAACGATCTGCTTTTAGGGAAAAGCTTTGGAGAGATTACTGCATTTGCAACGTTTAATGGCAAATTAATTTCAGGCCAAGAAACTTCCACCAGAGTTGGTTTCCATTCTTCTTGCTTTTCATTTGCTGATCTAATATATACACATTGCATGACAGTAACAATGTAAATCTTTATTTATTGAAAGAATACAAATTTTTTAACTCCGTATCAAATAAATTTACATTACACATTAAATCGTATTTATTAACGTTCTATATATATTGTGTGTTTTACACGCGTCGTAATTGATTATCATTTTAAATAAGAAATCGAGCGAAAGAATAATACTTATATTCATATTTTTTTACACATAAAAGAAATATTAAATTACTAATTTTTTTTCAACTGTTTCAGAATATTGAAAAATCAATATTAATATAGGATTGTTATTTTAAAATTAATAAATTATTATCAATCTGCAAGTGACTTGCTTTTAATGGAGGATTTTATATTTCTGTGTTTTTCGCTGAGGATGATTCCAAAGTGAGCCGAAACGTTCGACACAATAAATGAAGATAATTATTAACACCTGAGTATTATCTGCATCTCCTCTTCGCTCTTACATCAACGTTTGGCTCTCATTAGCCTTGTCTGAATTTCTATTTTATTGTTTAAGATTGAGAGTCTTTATTTATATATTTATGTAATTGTTTAATAAATTATTACGTGTTTGAAGCTTGATATTATATATTGTATGACACGGATTACGGATTCTTACTCACAGTTTATTGTTATGATTTACCTACCTGGGAATTGCCAGAAAAGCGCGATTTTTCCATACAGTGAATCTCCATATTAAAACATCATCCGATATGTTCAGTGATGTTAAATTCCAGGAGTGTGAAACATCAGTTAGGAGATAAAAAACACTAATTTGAAGAATAAAACGAGTCTTTTCTGAATTGATCATAATGAAAATGACGATAGAGAAACGGATACGACACGACTTTGATCGAGTGAACGATAACGCTTTCGTTGAAACGCATCGTCAGCGAGGGAATTGTCGATTGCTGACAACGGCTTTTTAATCGTATCCAATTAAAAGTAACCTGCTCGCTAATCTTTGCCAATTGACAAATATCTAACACTTTTTATACTCATTGGCCCGTATTCAGAATGCGCTTACAACGATGTTAACGATGCTAACATATTAAACTTTACGTCACGCATATTGTAGAATTTCAGAGATAAAAGCGCGCTTTTATCGATAAACGCGCGTTCTGAATACAGGTCATTTTATTTATTGCAGCTGTAATAGTAGAAGCGTTATAGTTAAATAAAAAAATTGTATTAAAGTGTTAATAAATAAACAACATTAAAGTTTATATTGATTTGTCCTTGAACTTTAAATCAAGCTTGTTTAATAAAGAGTGTGTAGTCAAAAGTTGATAAGAAAATATATTGCACACAGTTATGGAGAATGATCTTGGTGAATCACATTATGCGATTGCGAACATCAAAATATCTATCAAATCAATTAATGTTTATTATTAACAGTTATACGTTACATAAAAACTTTAATAATTAATTATTTATCGACAAAAAAAGTTAATAATTATAATAGCCTCAAGTGGAGCAGATGTGACAAAAATAAAAATTGGAGCATAAATCGAAAGAGTGACAGAAGTATAAATGGATTGTATAGGAAATAAAAATTGGGGCAACAAAACGTAAAAAAAATATAAGCTTCGTTTATGCTTTTGTCACTTTTTTCTTATATTTGATTTACGCTCCAATTTTTATTTTCGCCAGTGAAGCAGAACATCACAATAAATAACTAAAACGTGAAAGTGACGTTAAAATGAATTGTAAATGATTGAAAAGTGACTTGTAGTAATCACTTTGGAACTATTTTGTCATCATTTTGCTGTCATGTTGAATGACTTGTGTTCTGCTTGAGTAAAAGATATACTATATATATGTATATATGTACATCTTTTATGTATACATATATTAGTGGATATGTATAGTATACGAGGGTCGTTTGAAAAGTCCGTGCAAAGTCAGAGAAATGGCACTACTGGCGCGTATCAAGGTTAGATTTAGTTAGTAGCATCTCTTGGAAGAACACACACCACGTTTTAGCCAGATCGGTCTATTTGTTTGTGTTTGGCATTCATTTGAATCGAGGAAGTCGAGTGATTTTCAAAAACGCACCAGCTCACACCTCAGCAGTTGTGAGCGCAAAATTAATGGAATTAGGGTTCCAACTCGTTTCACATCCCCCCTATTCTCCAGACTTGGCTCCCTCGGACTACTATTTGTTCCCCAATATGAAGAAATGGCTGGCGGGAAAAAGATTTTATGCAAACGAGGAGGTGATTGCAGAAACAAATGGCTATTTTCAGACTTGGACAAATCCTATTATTCGGAAGGGATCAACAAATTAGAGCAGCGTTGGACGAAGTGTATAAGCCTAAAAGGTGACTATGTTGAAAAATAAAAAAAGTTTACCCCAAAAAATTAAGTAGTTTTTATTTTTGCACGGACTTTTCAAACGACCCTCGTATGTAGAAGAGGTCTTTGACAAGAGATGAGAGAGGACTTGAGAGAGATAAGCTTTAAACCAAGCTTTGCATATTTAATAAGGAGTTTGTAGCTTTATATATACATATAAAAGTTAATAAGAAAATATATTACGATTGTGGAGATCTTTGATAATAATTAATGCGAATATCTCAGTAAAACGCATATTTTCCCGTTTTTTGTCAAATTGCAGTTGACAGCAATCAAGAGTAATAAAAATATTGTGCAATAATTATGGATAAATTATGCAAAACAAGATTAAAGCTACACAGAGAGAAAAATGTTTGGTATTTGTAACTATAATTATATATTACTATAATTATGATTATTACTGCTATAATAATAATAACAGTAACTATATATATAGTTCCAGCAACAAATGTTATAATTGACAACCTAAAACTATAATTATAGTTGCTATAACCATAAAATAGTTGAAATTACCATAAAAATGGTTCAAGTGACTATAATTTTATAGTTATATTTTGAAACAACCATAAAAGGTTGCCAATTATAACATTTGTTGCTGGAACTATATATATAGTTACTGTTATTATTATTATAGCAGTAATAATCATAATTATAGTAATATATAATTATAGTTACAAATACCAAACATTTTTCTCTCTGTGTATCTCTCTCTCTCTCTCTCTCTCTCACATATCTTACATAATAATTATATTGATTAATTATTATACAATTACATATATTGCATTTATTAAGATTGCCATTTCATCTCTTACGAATTTTTTTAATCATATTGAAATGATTTTTCTTTTAAATATCAACAAGAATTTTTAAGCTGTAAAAATTATTTTTAAAAATAATATATAAACATGAAAAATATATACAGGGTGTTTCAAAATTTGCGAAGAAGTTTGTTAAAGGGAAAAGTTGTTCGTTTTAACATAAAATAACATCACGTTTTGTACTTCGCGGGCGCAAATTTTGAAACACCCTGTATGTATACGATTATCATACATAGCTAGTCTATTTTTCGAATGGCATTTTTTTTACTAATTTGAAATAATTTTTTCTACAAATATCAATAATTATCAAATTGTAAATTATTTAAAAAAAAAAAATAATAAAGCTCATATTTAATCGTTCCTACTTTACGGACTGACGATAATATAAATAGTTATGTCACTTCCGAAGTGACGTCGAGATGTCGCGATGGTCGCGTGTCTCCCCGAGCGATCACCGATGTCGCCAGCAACCGACGATGATCGTCTATGGCTGTCTATGGCCGAGGCCTAGGCGTCGTGTGAAATCGTGGAAGCCCGTGATACGCGCGGCAAATGGCCGCCGATGGCCGCCGTGGTGCAGTTTCCGAGGCGGTGCGTGGTGTTGCGTGACGTCCGGGTCCGACTGCGTTCGGGTACGATTGCGGTACCGCGTAGGCGCGTACGGGACGTGCGGTTGTCGCGTACGCCACGCGGCTTCCTGCATCGACCGCGTCAACGTCCCGCGACAACGTCGTCGTTATCGTCGTTGTCGCCGTTGTCAGCCTCGTCCACGTCGCGGTCGAGGTAACACCGACACCCGGGACGTGATGTGAGCTTCGTTGACGGCCGATCCCGAGCGCCTACACGCCGAGGAGATTCACGCGCGCGCTGCAGTCACAAACCATCCGATTAGCCAGCCCAGCCAGCGGGGAGCCAGTCAGCCAGCCAGCGAGGTGCGGCTGGCGATGAAAGCCGCGAGAACCGATCGCGGCACATCGGTGATGAAATCGGTGTCCGAGGGCGAGCTGGGCGTGGAGGAAGAGGTTAAACCTGCGGAACCGCGCGGCGCCACACGGCTCAAGCGCACCTTTACACTGCCGAGAAACCCGTTTCAAAGTGCCAGCAGCAGGATGTCGCGGCGACGTCCGAAGCAGCAACAGCAGACCCACGGGGACTCGAGGGACGCCAACAACGGTGCGCCAAGCGCCAAGGAGAACACCAGGAACAACGCTCGTCACACGGACGTCGGCCAGCCGCCGTCTCAACAGCAGCGACAGAACAACGCGATGGGGAGACTGCATGGCGGTCATCAGACCGTCGGTCAGCAGACCGGCAATCAGGAATCCCAGGAGCGACCGTGCGGCAAGAAGGTCTTCCGCCGGCCCTCCTGGAAGAAATTCATCAACAAGATGGTGCGGCACATGTCGAACGTGGGCACCCAGAGCCACAAGTCCGCCGCGATGATCCATCATCAACGTTGCAGTGGCGGCGGCGGTAGCGATGATCTCGGTTCGAGCGCGGGTGACATCAGGGTGCCGCCACCGCGACCGGCGCACATCCCGCCAGATCGTGTGCCGGGTGTCATAGGCCTACGCAATCACGGTAACACGTGCTTCATGAACGCCGTGCTGCAGTGCCTCTCGCATACCGACATTCTCGCAGAGTATTTCGTCCTAGACCAGTACAAGGTCGACCTGTCGCGCCGCAATAAACTCAACTCGAAGAAATACGGCACCAAAGGCGAGATCACGGAGCAGCTCGCCTTGCTCCTCAAGGCGATATGGAGCTGCCAGTACGACCCGGAGATGAGCACCGCGTTCAAGAGCG